TGGGATGAGATATCCATGCAGACCAGGTATGCCGTGGAATGTGTGGATAAGTTGCTGCGAGATGTGGCTGCGCCAGAGAATAGAAGACTTCCTTTTGGTGGTGTCGTAATGGTGTTTGGTGGAGACTGGTGTCAGTTTCCTCCGTTGTACGTGGAGGAACCAAAATGGACATAGTCAATGTGACTTTGAAGTCAAGCGAACTTTGGCGTTTTATGCAACTATACGTGCTCGATGAAAACATGCGGATCGAACCCAGTGAGGAGGAACATGCAAGATGGTTGCAGAATGTTGGAGAAGGAAAGAATTTTACCCCTGACGGTAATGACATTGAAATTCCTATCGATATGTATACCTAATGTTATGGGCAGTATGGCATTACTCACAGTACGTAATTGTGACGCGATAGAACTAAATGAAATGGTGTTGAAAATGACGCCAGGGGAATGTGTAGAACTCTATGGTGTGGATACCCCAGCGTGTGAAGACGAAGATCTTGTGGGTATGCCCTGTGACGACGAAGAATTCATCCATCACTTGACTCCACCTGGTAGGCCTCAGTATAAGCTGAAACTAAAATGTGGTTCTATGATAATGTTACTTCGAAATGTCGATGTGGAAGAACGTATGTGCAACGGAACTCGCCTTGAAGTCCTGGCATTCGTTTGCGATAATCGAATGCTTCGTTGCAGAAACCTGTTAACTGGAAGAATAACTCACATCACTAGGATGCCATTGGACTATGCAGATGAAAACACAGGAATAGCATTTCGACGTTTCCAGTTTCCTGTGAGATTGTCATATTGTACGACAATAAACAAGAGTCAAGGCCGAACGTTTGACATCATAATGGCATCATAATGCGAACACCCTCGTTTGCGCATGGAAGCACGTATGTTGCGTTGTCGAGGGCGCGGGCAAGAGAGCATTTGCGAATTACAATTAATTTTCGACGAAAACTGCGCCACTCACTCAGAGTCAGAAATGTTGTTTACGAAGAAATGATTGACTGAGGTAGCGGATGGTCTGTCTACTATTTTGGTTATAAAAATCAATGTGAAACATTGTTATAGCTGTTTTTT